GCTTATACAATGCTCCACAACTTCCTTATAGAACACTTTTCCAAATTCTGCAGTTCAGGTAGTAAAAAACAGTGCACAATAGAAACTGCTCTAGCTTTTAAACAGCACATGTGTATCGTCTTGTGTTTTTCATAACTCCATAACCAAAATAGCTATCAGGGTGATTCTTGCTGTCGGAGAAATATATTGACGTCTACTATTGTCCAATATTTTCTCATGATTTCTAATCATCCAAAATCATAGATATAAGCCGAAGAGTGCAGTATGCTCTGAAAAGACAGGATAGAGGAAACATGAGATAACCATAACCCAACTATTTATTTTATTAATCCTTATACCTTGGGCCTATAAGCTATATGAAATTGTGGTAACACCCAACAAGATCATTGCAGTCATTTCAAAGATGCAAAACAATCATAAGCATAATGACAATTCAACAAAAGCAATAAAGATGCACAACTCAATCATTGACTCAACTTGCGACACTATCGTTTTATTACATAAAGGACACGAACTCCTATTCCTTAACTAAGGTGTGGCTGCGAGGGCATCTAGGGTAGCATTGCTTGCATGACCGTGAGAGCAACACATCCTCCACTTCATTGATCTTGGATAGTCCGTCATGACTCCTTCATTCATCATCCTCATCAAATGCTTCTTTCGGGTTGGGCATCACTAACACTTACTGGTGGCAACCCTGTAGTGATCTGACTCTGGCCACTTCCATGGTATAATTGTTGATTCTTCTGTGGGCAAAATTTAACATAATGTCCTTCCTATTGGCAATGATAACACTTTCTCTTAGCTGGGTCTTTAGTGATGTCATACTCCACCAAATTGTTGCTTGGTGTGTTGTCAGCTTGGCGACTCTGAAGGTTCATCTTTGTTTGACTGGACCGCTTTCTAGCTCGCTTGATATTTTGGGGTTGAAACTCCTTATAGGGGATTGTCCACCCATCTATGCATACCTCATGTGGAAAGAGTGGAGTAATCTTAGCTTGAGAAACTTTTGACTTTTTAGAGTCTGAGTTTATCTAACTAGGGGTTGGAGCTGGATGTGACAAGGTAGTAGAGCTCGAATGTTGATTGCTTCCCAATTCTAGCTCTGGTGAGATCACCTTCCACTTCTTATCCACATTAGCTTCACAACTCGGGTTCACCTTGACTTCCCTCTTATTAGACTTGTTTTGAAGACAGGGAAAACCATAATACTTGCAGCATTGACATTGGTCCTGACTACCAAGCGTCTTACTACCAACATCTTCATTGGACTTCATTTTCTTCCAAGCTTCTGCCACTTGTCTCTTCACTGGTCCCTTTGGTATGTTGGTTTGACCCTGTGGCAAGCACTATTGAGAACTCCCATGTTAAGTCATTCCTTCTAATACTTATTGTTGCATAACTAAAAGCTTCTCCTTGTCGAATGCAATCAAGGACAACATAGCTTGGTCCTCCTGACCTTTGATGCTGGTGGCCTCATCATTACGACCTATCTATTTAGACGAAGAGAGAGGATTCAAAATAGAGACAAGGTTTTCATAACAGAACAGAGGCCGAAGTGAGCATAACTTTTAGCAAATAACAAGGTTAGAGAGAAAGCAAGAACTAAGCAAAGATGAAAGCATGCTAGAACATCCAGTTCTAAGAGCATCCTCTGATACCACTTTGTAGTGCCTGGTTTTAAGAGCAAAACCAGATACACACCATATGTGAGCCTAGAAAGTCAAATCTCACATATAGCTACAAATAAAGGTAATATCAGAAGACAATGCTCAATATATAACGTACTTAGTATAAAGGATATAACCTTAGACAACAAACATGGGAAAGACAACTCTGATCTTCGAGTGAAGACTCCAATTCCACAGGGACAACTGATTGGTTGATCACAAGCCTAATTCCTCCAAACTCTAGCAATCTGGTACCCATCCAGGATTTTTCTAAAGATTTAAAAAGTAAAGCAAGCATAAGTACATGTCGTACTCAACAAATATAATATGGGGTTCATGAGGCTCAAAATGGCTAACACTGGTTTAACTGCGATTAGCTTTTAATGAGTCATCTTTTAGCAATTGGGTGGCAACAAGTTTATTCACAAGCCCATATAAACACATGATCAGTTAAACATGAATAATGAATAGCATAAACAGTAATCATTAGTGAGTATCTTTATCATCAGTATCATTAGTGTTCATCATCTATTCCGTAAGGGTTCCAAGGCCGCTCATGACCTTGAGCACGACTGATATACTAGTTTTACACTCTGCAGACGTTGTACGCTTTCACTACGAGTCGTGATTTACCCTTTCGCCCGAGGTGATCAGCCTCTTGACCCACTACCAAGGAAGTTCAGTAGGGTTCACTATGATGCCTTTCAAAGGTTCATCTAACAAGTTAGGGCCATTAGATTAACTCAGCAAACAGATGAAGAGCCCCCTTCCCGATGGCATAATGACGCACAACCTATACATAAGGGGACAGAGGCCATACTATACCTGATTCGTCAAGCCATTTTTATGTCAATAAAGGTAACCACTAACAAGCTAGAAAAGATCCTCATACTGAGCTAAACCTAGAGCCATGTAGCCCTCACAGCTGTACTGTAAGTCCCGGATGATGACTTACATATAAGTCCTTAGTGAAAGGAATGTAGAGCACTATAAAAATAGCCCAATGCTCTAGCCCCCTTGTTCCATGTTGCTAAAAAACATCTTTTAGTGTTTATTGCATATACCATTAGTCAAGTTACAAGGTCATGGCTTTAGTTGAGCACTAGCATCATACTATCCAATGTAATACCCTATAGGTATCAAGGCATTTATGATATCAAATAGCTAGGAAAATTACTACGGTTGTCAAGGTAGACACATACAACATGAATTAAATGATTAAAGGTGTATAGGACAACAAGAAAGATCTGATGCTATACTTGCCTTAAACTTAGATCCTTCTTCTATTGATTCGTAGCCTCCAAAGAACTGCTTCTTGATCACCACGTAAAACTCACCGACTGGACAAGATCATTAAGCACCACACAAGCATCCGAACAAACATGCATAGCATTCAAACATAACTATATTAGAACAATACACTAATCAGTGAAAAAGAATTTGAAATCAAATTTACGCGTTGCTACGATCACACTGATGCGAAAAACACGCTAATCGGAGCTACGATGAAAAAGATACATCTACCGATAGATTTGTTTCGAAAAGAAACTATAGGCTTTATTTATTTTAGCTATATAAAACATGTTTACGATACTTCAGAGAAATACCTTAATTGAGTTAAGTCAAATTATACTTGATTTAGAAAAACAAGGTAAAACTAATCATATAATTGACCAAGGTGAAAAGCCTAAGTTACTTTTAATTAGAAAAATCCAATTGCATAATCATTATTCAAGTTTGGCGTTAAACCATGAAATTCTAGAGCTCTTGACATGGAAAACATTGATACTAATGCGTAACTTTTGTCGTTACGAACCTATCACAACTTGAACGGTTCAAATCAGAGTTAAAACAGAGAAACTACGCATAAAATAAGATCAATGACAATTTTGTAAATATTTTGAAATCAATTTCATTTTAGGAATAATTAAAAACCAAATAAAAACAGTCCTGTGGGCCGGGGCTCATTTTTGGAAAACTGTAGGGGTCAGAACATAAGATCCAGGGGCTTGGATTGAATTATTTCTTAAAGGCAGTGGATGGCGGGTGCTATATTAAAAATCTGAGGGTGGTTTTGACAAAAAGGCAAGGACGAAGGGGTATAGGCTAATCTGAGCCGTTGGATCTAAGATGGATGGCTCGGATTAGATCAGAGGGGAGAGAAAGATGCCAGCCGGCCGGAACAGGGCGGCGCCATGTCCGGCGACGGCGCAACCTCGCCAGAGCGAAGTGGAAAAGGCCCTAGGGACCTTGGTTAGGCTCTGGTATGGCACTGGGAGCTAGAGGAAACTATAGCGAACACATCTAGGGGATCAGGCGCTATTGCACGATTTGGCGGCTAGCTAACTCCGGCGACGGTGCGCGAACAAAATTAGAGCACGAAGGGGCAAAAGACGGTCCCTGGAGGCTTCCTTATCGAGGTGTGAAGGCTGGGGAGCAGCTTAGATCGACGTCGGAGCACGGTAGTGGCAGAGCGAACTCGATAGTGGTGATCTAGGGTTGCGGCACGCGGCAAGCTTGAGCGAGGGCGGTTGGACGTGCTAGGATTGTGGGTAGAGGTTGCGGTGCGTGTGCGTCCGCTATTTATGAGGCCGGCGCGGCTTGGGGACCATGCAAATCGGCGAGGATGGGGCAGCTGCGGACTCCTCTTCGGACAGAGTCCGGCTCGAGCATGTTTGGAGGTAGGGGACGGCTGACGCGTTGGCCTCGGGTGTCAGCGGGTGATGGAGCGGGACCGGCCTGTCAGACGGGGAGAGAAGAGTGGCGCACGCTACGCGTCTGGGCTTTGGCCTTGGGCTGGCCTGTCTCAGTGGGCCGTGCGAGAGGGATTAGTTCCGGCCTGCCTGCGGCGGAAGGAAAAAACTGAGCGGGAGAGCAGGCCACACGCTGGGCCAGTGAGGGGAGAGAGCGGGTGGGCCGCGCGGGGAAGCAAGGCGGAACGGGCCAAATGACAGGTAGGGAGAGGGAGGGAAAAAGAAATTCCTTTTTATTTTCTTAAACCCAATTTTCAAATCCAAATTCAATCTAAATTTAAATCCTTTTGAAGTTTTGATCAAACCCAATCATCACAAAATAAATATGCAGCTGCATGTATGCACAAACATGTTGCTACGTTATGATAAATTTTAAATTAATAAATTTTTTTTATGTTTTTATGAGCACAAAAATTCCAAATATATCATTTTAGCTCTATTTCTAAAAATTCAAATTTTAGGGTGTTACATTCTATTGGTCCCAGTTTGAACAGGATATGAGTCAACTTCAACTTTATTGTATGGACGTGCCTCGTTTTATGCATCTCATTACCTGAAGTTCTCACATGTTTTACAGAGTTTAACTTCAACAAAGGAACATATAAAACAGCTAGTGTATAACCTTGAGATTTTGGCATTGAGCTCGGAAGACGCACAAGAAGAGAACGTTGTTTTGATGTGTGATTTAAGTGGTTGGACACTATCAACTACACCATTGTGGGAAACCCGAGAATCGTTGCACATAATTCAAAACTATTATCCAGGGTTGGTTGGAGCAGCAATTCTCAGCAATCCGCCAAAGATATTTGAATCTTTTTGGAAGGTACTCATATATCAACTTATTTGTATAAAAAATTGTTATATACTTCCTCCGTTCCAAATTATTAAGTTGCTTTGACTTTTTTGATACATCGATTTTGCTATGTATCTAGATCGACATATGTTGCATCTAGATACATAGTAAAATGAATGTACCAAAAAAATCAAAGCGACTTATAATTTGAAACGAATGGATTATTCTTTTTCTAAAAGTTTGAGATTTTTAAGAATGTAAATAGTCAGCCTTCTTTGACTTTTAATCTACGAATAATTTGCTGTGGCTTTTGTCTACTAATTTACACTAAGTCATTCAAAAGATTTCATCATGATAAGAAGCATATTATAGTGTACTGCTGAAATCATCATATGGCAGTGGGTATTCCAACTAAATATGATGACTACCTTTACGCTTTTCTATGACCTTAAGAGGACTTAAGCAAGGGAGTTACAATCCTTTTATGTACAGATTGATGAGTTTTAGTGAATATATATGTTGGCAAGATGTATGACATGCTTTCCCTTTGCAGATAGTAAAATACTTCATCGAGCCAACGTTGTATGACAAAGTGAAATTTGTTTATAGGAAGAACTCAGATAGCCAGAGGATATTGGCTGACATGTTTGACCTGGACAAGTTGGAGTTTGCATTTGGAGGAAGAAACACTGCTAGCCTTGATATTACAATGTACTCCGAGAGAATGAGAAGACGAGATCAGATAAGGGGTGCTTGCAAGGACGCAAGTGGTACCATGTAACCTTCCGGACAACGAATACAATCGACTACATGAAGACTAAAACCTTGTATTTACATGTGAAGCCCTGAGCCATGGAAGGTAGATTTTCCAATCAAATGCTGAAGTTCGGTAACTATGAGAGCCATGAAGGTTAATTATTAAAGACCTCCTTTATGTTATTTATGGTTCTCGAACAAGAGAACATGAATCTGTAATAACATAAGAAGCCTAATCTTAATAAAGTCTGTCTTAATGATGAATGTCAACATGATAATCTTAATATTACTTATGAACCAAAGGCGCCATTTTTTCTTTTATTTGTCAATGGACGCACTGCAGTCTGTTCCAAAGTACTGTTAGCTTTACACTACAACCCTGTCCAATGAAAATATTATATCTCCCATCCATGTATTTGCACACACTGTTTATGACTATGGTATTCTAGTTGGTAAGGGCAAGTTGTATGTGTGGACATAAGGGAGAGTGAACGAACTTTTTTGGTAATGCGGCTCTAGCAATCCAAAACCTCAACCGACATATGTTGTACAACTAATGGCAACAATAGATTCAATCTATTACTACACATATCATCCATAATACCAATCAAAAATAAAAATAAAACTATGCAGCTCTGATAGTACTATTGTCGAACTAGTATGTCATGCTAGCACAATAAATATATCACGTTCAACCAAGATATCATGTGAGTAGGAGATCATAATTCATTACCACTAACGGGCAACATAATGAAAGAAGAGTTGAAGTAACTTAGTTCAATGTCATGTGCGTTGATACAGTGGAAGTAGATGTTTTGTCCTCGAGTTCCGGCAGTAGCCTCACATGCCCTGCTTCGTCTGTCCATCTCGTACTCAACGTCAATCAACGTAGCAACAACTACAATAGCATCTCACTAATATGTGGGATGGAATACCTTGTGCTGAAGTGGCAGCGATGGCTAGGATATGGGTAGGCCAAACTATCTCTTAGCCCTAGTTACACCCCTCATATATATAGACCCCACTAATAGGTTTCTACTGTAGAAGCCCATTAGAACTCGCCTGGCTCAATATCCTAATTTGGTCCACCTATGGTTTCAATCAATATATAGCGTGTATGATTTCCACTTGGGGAACATCACCAACACAACCTCAGTGGATTGCAACTTAATTAAGAAACTGCCCTGTTAAATGCATGGAGTGCTGAGAAAACTAAATTATTCAGCTAGAGCCTACCTATATGAGACTGTCACGCCCAGTTTTTCAAAGAAAACCAAGCTCATTATATGTGTGTCCAGGAAGTCCACATATACAACAATAGAGTGAATAGTATCAAAAACAATGTTATTAATAACATATACATAGCTATATTAACACTTACATCAGAGTATCGTGGAACGGTAACTAATCTTCAGACTCTATTCTTCACAGAGACGGATGACTGGGGGTAACATACGGCTAGCACTCCTATCAATCTTCTAGGAACTCCTTTGTGTCCTCATCAATCTTCTGAACAAGTTTACTACAGATTGAGGTATGAGGGAAATAGCAAGTGTGAGCACATGATGTACTCAGTAAATATAACATAGAGTTTATGAGGCTCAAAAGGTTGACAAAGGCTTAACTGCGATTAGCATTTTAGTGAGTCAAATTTTAGCATTAGAGTAGTAGCAAGTTCAGCTTGAGCCCCAAATAACCACATGATCGTGTAAACGAGATTAATGTATAGAAAAAACAATTAATCATAAGTGAGCATCTATATCATTAGTATCATTAGTGTAAATTATCTATTTAGTATGGAGCCCAAGCCGCTTGTGACCGTGAGCATGGCTGTTATAACAGTTTTAAGACACTCTGCAGAGGTTATACATCTTTACCCATAAGCCGTGATACCCATATGCCGGGGTTAATTACTCCCAAAACACTTCCAAGGTGAGCAGACAGGGATCACTATGAAGTCTTTCAATGGTTCGTCTAACAAGTGTAGCCCGCTAAGGTTTCCCCATCAATAAGCATGAACTCCCCTCCAAGGGGTGACTAACAAAAATACAAAGAAAACAAAGTGCACCCTCTTGGCAGGCGAGAACATACAGATCGGAGCCCCTCTTGCGCCTTTCGGTAAGCTACTACAAGCTAGAAAAGGTCCTCATACTTGACTAAAACCAGAGCCATGTAGCACTTATGGTTGTACTGTAAGTGCCGGGGGAATCCACTTACAAATAAGTCCTTATGGAGAGAAACTAGAGCACCATAAAAACAGCCTAATACTCTAATCCTCTTGAGCCATGTTACTAAAAAGCCTCTTTTAAATGTTTATTGCATATACCATTAGTCAAGTTACAGATCATGGTTATTTAATTCGAGCACTAGCAAAGTACTACCCAAATGCAAGTATCCAGTATGTCAAGGTACAAAGTACTAGGATATCCTTAGAGGTAATAAGGTAGACACATGCATATGAATTTAGTGTGTTATGGTTAATAGGAAACAAGGATGATCACATGATATACTTGCCTTAAACTCTAGTATTCTGCTGATTCTCAATCTCTGAAAGATTGCTTCTTGATCACCAATGCAAAACTCACCGACTGGACATATTCGTAGAAGACCACACAAGCATCCATGCAAACATACACGAAACAAACAGTAGAACTAAATTAGAATAGTACACCAAACATATAAAACGGCGAGTGAAAAGATTTTAAAGATGTTCTACATGTTGCTACGAACACACAGGCGTGAAAAACACTCTAATCGGAACAACGGTGAAAGAGAAATGACTACCGTAAGATTCACTTTATCTGAGAAAACAAAATTATAGGCTTCATTTATTTTAATAATTATATAAAATATGTATAGGATACCTCAGAGAAATATCTAAATTTAATTAAGTCAAATTTATATTTGAATTAGAAAAGACAAAGTAAGATTAATCATATTTTATTTATCAATCCTAGTTGCATAATTCATTATAGGATTATAAAATTCCAGATATGGTAAACATTATTTTTAACACGTAGATTATGTCATTATGAATCTAACGTAATTTGAACGGATCAAAACGAAATTAAAACAAAGATTCGACAAGTAGACGTACATAGACTCTATGGACAGTCTACATAGTTAGGGGACATCAAAAGATGATTTTTTGTTGAATTTAGGAATAAATAGAGAATGGTGATTTATTACGCATGAATGACATATATATGACATCAGCATAATCTTTAATCACTAAAATAATGCACATCTTTAATCAAGCATGCATGCATGACGCTCATTACTGGTGCGCCGTTGGAAGATTCTAGTTGGACGAACTGGGTGGCCACGACTTGCATCTACTGAACATGAAACATCACGGTGTACAAATGAACTTGCATAGTGGAGCACTAGGTGCTCGATTTGGAGAAGAAGATGGTGCTACACGTAATAGGACTCCTCCATGGACGGCGACAAAGTATCGCCGGTGACCTCGAGAAAAGGCCTACGGCATCGGCGGTCTATTAACAGGGAGGTAGCGTGGATCACGGGAAGATTACCTAGGGGCTCGACGCTATCAGAGAGAGCTCTGCAGCAGCACTGGGCTCCACGGTTGGATGATGGCTTCCTACAAGAGCTCAGCAATACCGTGTGTGGTGTGAGGTACGGGGCAAAAAAAGGAAGGAAGGGAAGCATCGACGGATTCATCACCTTGACTCGAACCTCAGTAGCGGTGTCGCGAACGGCAGTGAAGCAGCTCGTGGTGCCTGTGGCGGCGGCGTGTCTTCACGGACAAAGAGCTCCAGCGATGAGTAGAAGAACGATGATGTACAGCTCGACAGGGCAGCAACGGGCTTTCCTTAACGCGAAGCTCGTCGGCGGTTTGCAGGCGGCGGGCACAGTTGCGGCGGTTGCAGTCTGAGCTCGGCAAGATCGTGATCGTGGCAGCGTGAAGCTAGGGCGAAAACGGCGGCAGGTAACGTAGATGAAAAGGGGGGCACGGTTTGGGACCTCCAAGTTTTATAGGACGTCAGATGCGAGAACCAAGCCGTATCCCACAAGATCAAGCGATGGTGGCAGGGGCTGCCATCAGACTAGAGTCTGATTGCTGCACGGGAGGTAGAAGAAGGATGCAGCTGACATACGGGTCTGGGCGTAGCTAGCTAGCTGGGCTTGCGCAGCAGCTGCTACTAGGTCACTTCGGCCAGCTGAGGGAAAAGGCCACTTGGGCTAAAAAGAGTAGAGGATGGAGGATTTCTCTTTTTATTTCAAATCCTTTTTAAAACACAGTTTGAATCATTTTGTGTTTTGGTCAAAACCACACATTACAAAAATACAAATGCACTAGCATATATGCACAACAATTGTGATAGAACCACCCAATTCATACAAGCTCAAGTACGGCTATCCCCGTTTAATAGGTTGAAGTGCACATACTTTCACTTATATAAACCCGGTAGTCCGTCGAGTGTCACGAAGGACCTCGGTAAATTAACATCACAACCAAGATCGCACGATTAAGCAAATACACATCATATATATGGAGTTGCAGCTGAATAATGTTTACAATGAGTTCACAAATAATAATACAAGTTTGGGTTTCAAAACCAATTAGTAAAAACAACATAGCTTTCAAATGATTACAATAATATAATTTCCAAATACATTGCTAGCATACGTGACATCCTCTGACAGAAGCATATAGATAAGAACACTATATAGAGTCGCCGAGCCCACCGGTGGTTAGCCACCATCTTTAGCAGGTCGAGAACTTCACCTGCAACATGGTGGGATAAACCCTGAGTACTCGAATATACTCAGCTAGATTTACCCGTCGTAAACCAAAAATAAAATGACACCAAAGATCATGCAAGGCTATATAAGTGGAGCTAGCTTGACAACATTTTGTATAAAAGCCACTAGTTGAGCTATACATTTTATAATTCGGTAACCAAGTTAATTATAGCTATTCATCTCTAGATTAGCAACTAACCTGTGCCAAACATGTGGAATATCATTTAGTAACATGCAATAGTAACCGTAGCAGGT